TTGCTCTGCTTTCCTTCAGAAAAGTACATTGAAGTGATTCATTAGGCACTGAACTGTTCACAAGAAACAGCCCAATTCTCTTAGGCACGCCGGCGCATCTCTGCTAGTCAAATTTAAAAAGCAATCAAATCTACTAATAAGTCTTTTTTGCCAGCATTTACATCAGTGGCGAACACGATTCTTGACAATTCAGATTAAATAAATGAGGGACAAATTAATCTCTGTTAACATACCTCCAAAGCGGTGCCCGAGTTGGGCAACTTCACGCTGCCCATCTCTTATTATAACAAATCTATTATCGATGCTCCAGCTCGTCTGACACCTGACAGCCTGCATCACCGAATTATAAATACCCGCCTCACGCAGAGCCTGCATATTTTTTAATACCGTTGAAGCAATTATTTATAACTGCATTTCAATATTTATAAAACCCAGAGGTGGGGGGGGGGGTCTAACATACAAAAACAACTCAAGTGTTAGAGCTACGGCACCATCGAGCTGTGCCTGTGCCCCTCCGCTTGTTCCAGATCTGGCAGAAACAAACAGGATAAGAAGTGGAATGAATACGTGAAGCCTCGAACCTGCCCCGCCGCAACCATCAGCAGCGTATTTTCCAATTGATAATGAGTTCATAGGAGCATTGGAAAGTAAAGCTAAAAGGGCCCTCACAAAGTCATCTAGTTCAGCCCCGCTCTCGAGGCAGGATAGAGTTACCTCTATCCAGACAGAAACAGTTCCCAGAACCCAAAAGATAAGGCATTTATTCCTTCAATTAACTAAATTCAGTCCACACGAGTGAAGAGGAGGAAAAGTGAAGAGACCCAATAGGGAAGACTATTTATTTTACTATCCCTTTAAGATGTCTTTTAAAAATGTGCATCATTTTATTTGCAAAAAACCTCACAATAGTATTTCACCAAAAATGGTGGGTGCAGGGTGGGGAGGTGTCACGTCTCGATATACTAAATGCAACAAAGAATTTCGAACTTATAATCAAGACCCTGGAGGTCAAGTCTAAGGGCTTCATAGGGTATTAAGCTAAGGAACAATGTGTACTTAGGAAAATAGCTCTGCCCTTGGAGAACCGGTTTTGCCATGCCCAGTTGGTCTGTGGCCTCTCGGGCCTGGCCGGCCGCAGGACGGGAGACCCTCAGGGAAAGCCGAACATTGCAAGAAGTGGCCTTGACGGTTCAACAGGCAGCATTCACTCGTTACCCCTGCAGCCCCCCCCCACCAACCCAAAAGCCATGGGTCGCTCAGAGAGCCCGCGGATACAGGAAAGCGTGCCCATGGGTTTTCAGTGTTTGGGGTTGGGTTTTTTTGTTTGTTTGTTTGCATTTAATTAATACAAAGTCGTTTTTGCAAAGAGCTTCCCAAAGTGCTCGTTTCAAGGACAGCCGTGTCATGCTTGGTGGCCTTGGCTATGTGCCACGTCGCAGCAGGTCATTACATCTACTGGCTTAAAAATACTCCCTCCCTAGTCCCGGGCAGGGAACATGTTGCTCACTTCCTCTCCTAATAGCCGTTCAGC